TAAAACTCAAGGCAAACCGGAGCATAAAAGCGAACCTGTAAATCTTAAAATGGTTTTGTTGAAAAATGATCAGGGTTGTTTAAATCCCGGAATTTACAAAAGGAAAAGTCAAAATAGTTCTCGACAGGCAGCAGAAGGCGTTTGGCTCCGAGCTCCGCCAGGACAACTCTCCAAGGACGCGGCTCTTCCTGTCCACGGTCTCTTTACACCAGTGGAATAAGTTTGAGTGCGAATCTTACTATGTACACTTCCTATATCGCCTGAAAAACCCAGTCCATTCTCTATTCTGCAGAGTCTGGAATCGGACAATCGAGCGCGAAAAACCTCCGACTTAAAGGGCCAATATTACGCTTTTTTCTGATCTGTGTTCTTTTGTTGTTTCCTCATCACAAACAGACCTGGAGTTGTGTTTTGGTTCATTCACACATGTTTAAGATAAGATAAGATAATCCTTTATTGTCTCCCATGGGAGAAATTTGTCTTGGAACAGGGGGTTTGATCAAAAAAAACAGGACAACACAACACAAAGCAGCACATAAACAAACACCATAAAACAAAGTAAATATGAGACCAGTATGACCACGAGTGATGCACCAACAGGACCCTTAAATTATCCTTAACAGGCAAACCCTTGCATTCTTCTGTTCTATTAATTATTGCACATTCCCTAAGCCTATGTGCAGTTTTAGTTATAATTATTGCACATTCCCTAAGCCTATGTGCAGTTTTGATTGCACATTCCCTAAGCCTATGTGCAGTTTTAGTTATAATTATTGCACATTCCCTTAGCCTATGTGCAGATTAATTATTGCACATTCCTTAAGCCTATGTGTAGCTTTAATTGCACATTCCCTACACCTATGTGCAGTTTTAGATATAATTATTGCACATTCCCTACACCTATGTGCAGTTTTAGATATAATTATTGCACATTCCCTACACCTATGTGCAGTTTTAGATATAATTATTGCACATTCCCTACAGCTATGTGCAGTTTTGATTGCACAATCCCTAAGCCTTTTATAATTATTTTTTAACTGCATTATCTGAGTTTAGCAGTTTAACAGCTAGTGGTACAAAAGAATGTTTGAATTAACACGCTGCATATTTACGCCGAGGTCTTCTCTCAGACAGAAAACACTCTGTTCCACCTTGTGATGTCATGTGGTAATACAGGAAGTGCTCCACTGTCTTTTCAAACTCCATACACGTTCACTAGAATCATTTGGATAATTTCAGACCTGGAATTTCCAGTCTCTACTGAACTGAAGATAAAAGTTACTAGAGCGACAGTAGCTCAGTTGGTAAGAGCGTTTTGTCCACTTATCCCAAGGTTTGCGGTTCGAATCCCGCTCTCGACATAAACATCATTATTTGAGCGGTCAGACCCACTGACTCACAGTTTGGCTGGTGTGATTCCAGCTCCCACAGATGAATGCTGTTGTTGTGTCCTTAGGCAAGACACTTAACCCACCTCGCCCCCAGTGTCTGTGTCAGAGTCCTGCACCAGGTCGGGTATTCGAAAATAGTTGCTGAAATGGGCGGGATTTAAAGTCCTGGAATTTTACGGGCGGGTAGTGATTACACACGGACGACGAACGGGAGAAAAATACTTGACGCACGTCCAAGGCGTCTGTTGCCCCGGAAACAAGTGACATTTACCAGTGTTTTCCTGGAACGATGAGAGACCAGGCTGAGAGAGACTTGAGTGTTTTTATTACATAAAACCATCAGCGGAAGTGATCGGGTTCAGCAGCTGCACTCCTGGTTTAGACACCGTTAAGTCCTGGTTTAGAACTGGCTTAGTCCTGGTGTAGTACTGGTTCAGTCCTGGTTCAGACCTGGTTTAGTCTTGGTTAAATCCTAGTGTAGTCCTGGTGTAGTCCTGGTTAAGTCCTGGTTTAGTCCTGGTTAAGTCCTGATCCAGTCCTGGTTAAGTCCTAGTTTGTCCTGGTTTAGTCCTGGTGTAGTCCTGGTTAAGTCCTGGTTAAGTCCTGATCCAGTCTTGATTTAGTCCTGGTTAAGTCCTGATCCAGTCCTGGTTCAGTCCTGGTTTAGTCCTGGTTTAGTCCTGGTTCAGTCCTGGTTTAGTCCTGGTTCAGTCCTGGTCCAGTCCTAGTTTAGTCCTGGTTAAGTTCTGATCCAGTCCTGGTTAAGTCCTGATCCAGTCCTGGTTAAGTCCTGGTTTGTCCTGGTTTAGTCTTGGTGTAGTCCTGGTCCAGTCCTGGTGTAGTCCTGGTTAAGTCCTGATCCAGTCTTGGTTTAGTCCTGGTTAAGTCCTGATCCAGTCCTTGTTAAGTCCTGGTTCAGTCCTGGTCCAGTCCTAGTTTAGTCCTGGTTAAGTTCTGATCCAGTTCTGGTTCAGTCCTGGTTAGTCCTGGTCCAGTCCTGGTTTAGTCCTGGTTTAGACCTGGTTTATTCCTGGTTTTTCCTGGTTTAGTCCTGGTTTAGTCCTGGTTTAGACCTGGTGATCGGCTCTGCGGTTGCAGCGTGTTTAAATTTACAATCCACTAATGACACGGTGTTGGTTTAGTCCTGGTTCAGTCCTGGTGTAGTCCTGGTTTAGACCTGGTTCAGTCCTGGTGTAGTCCTGGTTTAGACCTGGTTTAGACCTGGTTTAGTCCTGGTTTATTCCTGGTGTAGTCCTGGTTTAGCCCTGGTTTAGTCCTGGTTTAGTCCTGGTTTATTCCTGGTGTAGTCCTGGTTTAGTCCTGGTTCAGTCTTGGTGTTGTCCTGGTTTAGTCCTGGTTTAGACCTGGTTTAGACCTGGTTTATTCCTGGTTTAGTCCTGGTTCAGTCCTGGTGTAGTCCTGGTTTAGACCTGGTTTAGACCTGGTGTAGTCCTGGTGTAGTCCTGGTTTAGCCCTGGTTTAGTCCTACACTATTGGGCTGTTGGACTAATGGTCTGACCCCGATTTATCACGGGCACGGGCGAGTAATGGGTGGAATGTTAACGGGTCCAGACTGGTGCGGATTTAACTTTGATATAATCACGGGTTAACGGGCGGGTCTCCAAAAAAGGACCTGTGCGGGACCTCGGTCTTAAAAGGAGCTATTAACATGAAAACTACCGCTTCATGACATCACAAGGTGGAACAGAGCATTTTGAGCTTTGGAGATGTAAACAGACTAATAATAAAGTTACACAAAACACAACTCCAGGTCTGTTTTCAGGAGGTAACAACATTATAACATGGCTTAAAGGTTGTATAGAGGATTTTTTTAAGGAAAGAGAAATCCAGCGACAGTCCTTTTTCAAATGTAGTGCATGCGTGACACCACCTTCCTCCTCCACAGCTCCCTCTAGAAATAATTTAGAGACCGACACCTCAGTTTTTAGACCCTTCGTCCGCTTCAGTCGCGCCATCGCTGGAAGGAATCTCCAAGAATCACCTCAGTTTGTCTTCGCTCCTTTTCTCCTTCTCTTCTTCTTTCAGCGACCTCAAAAACCGACGTTCTTTTGCGGCGAACTGGTCGTGGATTCTCGTCCGACATCGCAACAAACTTTATGCGAACTGCGAGAGAGCCACAATTAGAAAAAAGCCTCTAAGAACTGCTGCATAGTTACCTTAGAAACGTAGGGAGTTTGAGTGACAACCTGACAGCCAATAGAAAATGAGGCAGCCTCGTTTTCTATTGGCTGATGTTTATCTGGCCTCAACACGTCCACAGTTGATAGATTTTCTTTCTTTTTTTTTTTGGTCATCATAATTACAAGGCTGCTGCGTCTCTGTAATGGTGTTTTAAACTTTCACTGACAATTTGAAACAAACAAAAAATCCTCCATACAACCTTTAAGTCGAAATAGTAATAATCATGACAGACTTAGACACGAAAAAAAAAAAAAAAAAAACCTGACACCTTCTTTTTGCTCGTAGGAAATACCCGCTTTGTTTTGGGTCGGGACCTGTGAGATCATTAGGATGTCAGAGTCCGATAAGGCCGCGGTCCACCTGTGCTAACACGAGTCCACGGCGTGAAAGACAAAACCCGAGACTGGGAGCTGAAATTATCTGTGTGTACTATCTAATCGAGACCAGATGCTCCCCGCGAAATCATCTCGGCATTTACCGGCCAAAACGTGGAGTGAGTCTTATTTGGGGTTAGCGGAGGTAACAGGAATATATCTGTCACTGCGCGGAGAAGCGGGGTGCGTCGGAGGAGTGAGCATGAGACTGTGAGACCCCGATACTAAATAAAGTGCGGAGTCAGGGAAAGCAGATTCAGCCCCCGGAGCTCATGTGTCAGCCCCCATCAGCGCTACTCACGGCAGCGTCCATTATGTAATCACTGGCCTGCTCCCGGGCCATTCGTCATTATGAAAAGCACAGCAAATGAAAAACAATAATACTGTTTTAGAGCTTATTTCATTTGGTTTTCTTCTGTCAGAGCAAAGATTGTACGTTATCAGACAGCAGTAACAGAGACAGCATCTAGTGGTGAAGCGTGAGAATGCAACAGAGGCGGGCTGGCGGTAGCTTTAAAGGAGATATATATGACACAAAATAAATGTATATTCACGTTTTTCTCCCCAAAGTTGTATGTTTAAAAGTCCTAAACTGACTCTTGTGAGCTTTAAATAGTGTTATAATGTTGTTACCTTCTCAAAAATAGACCTGGAGTTGTGTTTTGTTTCATTCACATGTTTGAGGAACCTTTTATTATTAGTCTGTCTACATCTCCAAATCAGAAAATGCTCCCCCCTCGTGATGTCATGACGTGATAGTTTTCAAGTTAACTGCTACTGTTTGTTTAATAGAGAGCAGTGATTCCAGGGACGAAACGATCCAGATGATTCTAGTGAAGGTGACTGGAGTTCACAAGGTGGAACGGTGTTTTCTGTTTTAGAGAAGAACTTAAAATGTCATACTGTGGAATATTACAGGCAAAGCAATAACATCCTCCTGGAGACAAACTCGAGGTGCATTTTAATATCGAGGGCATGTACAGTGCGTGACGATGATGTGATGATCTGACGCTGACGTGTGTTCTTCTCACAGGTGAAGGTCTGGTTCCAGAACCGTCGGATGAAGTGGAAACGTGTGAAAGGAGGACAACAGGGACCAGCGGCCAGAGAGAAAGAACTGAACCACGTGAAGAAGGGGACTTTACTGCCCTCTGAGTTCTCAGGACTAGTGGGACTGTCGCCTCCTTCTGGCTCCCCCAGGCCACTGAACGACTCCCCCAGAGCGGGCCTCCCCTCCCCCACTGCTCTGTCCTCACCCAGAGGTGCTCATGAGGAGGACAGTGGAGACAGTGAGCGCAGCTCTGAACAGGCACAGCTATGACCTGCACAGAGGACCACACTGGGTGTTTCCCAATTGCCAGGATCCTCGGCTTCTGAACGATGTCATCAGGGCTCCTCTGAACGCTCATTTGTAGAAGCACTGATTAAACTTCTGGGTTTTATCGAGTTTGATTTGACACGGCGCAGTCGCTCTCCCCAGAGCCTGTTCCACGTGCACGTCCAGGTGCTGTGAGCAGGATACAGGCTCTGCTTCGGGGGAGTGCTACACGGTGGTCTTTGGAGGAAGGATCCTGGGAAATGAGAAACACCCAGTGACTTGAGACTGGAGAGGATCAAACCTTCTGGGGTTCAGAGGTCATCACAACATTCTTTGGGCCCATAGTGTTTATTTGAGAATAACTGATGTTAAAATGCTGATTCTGTGGCGGTGTCACTGTATAATGAGCAATGTTAGTTTAAATGATCAGGTTCAGTAGAGGCTGTAACAACAACAACTCAGACTATTCAAAAGACACAGCTGGTCTCAGTTTGCCAGTCCATCAGTTTGAAGTTGTGTTGTGACTTTGACAGAAGAAAACTTGGGTGCAGCTCCCAAAGGACTAAACATGGACAGAGGTCATTCATACAGTTTACTGGAGGCACCGTGAGCACTGAAAACATCAGTCTGGTGAAGGTGTATGGACTTTAAAAACACAGTAGAGCTTCATCAAAAAGTCTCAAAGCTGGGATACCTGATTTTTTCTGTAAATGGATAAATGTTGTGTTTCACCCCAAAGATTATATCGTAAAAGCAGCATTTTGTGACAAGCTGAAATCACTGCTGCTGACTGTAGTTAACAGTAAATCGTTTTTATTTTTTGTCAACCCAGAAGTAAACTCTGAAAATAACGCTCTGATTGGCTGCGTTCTAGAGAGGTGCACATACCTGAAAATGTATGTGGATATAAAAGACAAAAACAGACCTGGGGTTGTGTTTTGTTTCATTCACACGCTTGAGTAACTCTTTAATATTAGTCTGTCTACGTCTCCAAAGCTCCAAATGCTCTGTTCAACTTTCATAAAGTGGTAGTTTCCAAGTTAACAGCTCCTTTTACCGTTATTTCAGTAGAGATTGGCAATTCCAGGGCTGAAACGACCCAAATTCTAGTGAAGGTGTGTGGAGTTTGAAAACAGAACCAAGGATTTTCTGTTTGAGACAAGAACTCAGACTAAATATCCAGGATTTGTGTATTAAACATGTGTGAATGAAACAAAACACAACTGCAGGTCTGTTTGTGATGAGGAAACAACAATATAACACAGAAAATATCGTAATATGAGCCTGTTCGTGTTTTGTGAGAGCTTACTTCCTCTGTCCACGGTGTGAGAATCAGGTACCCCAGTTTTAAGTTTTATATTTCTTTGTAGATCTGACTCCATAACTGAAATGATCTATTAAATGTGCATTGTGTAACTTTTCTGGTTGGAGGTTTGTCATCTAGTCAGGCTGGCGCCACCTAGTGCCTCCGCTCAATTTAATTTCTCTCCAGCAACTAGGTCAGGAATCGGAAAACACTAGATGTTTCGTAAGAACCCCGGAAGTGCGAGTTCAGGCACCAGCCAATCAGCAAAGAACCAGACATTCTGTGTTGGCAACGATTCCCCGAGATCGAGGATTTAAAGCCGGAACAAAGAGAATGTTTGGTGAATTTTATCAAGGGGAAAGACGTTATTGTCCTTCTTCCTATGGGATTTGCTTAAGCTTAATATACCCGTCAAGTGAACGAATCTTAATGCTGCGAGGTCAGACAGGTTCCACGAAGTGAAACCGGCTCATGAATCAGGCTATCCCTCACCTGCTTGTTTCTACAGATATTAGGGATGTAACAATAACCGAAATATTGTGATATTGTATTGTCAAATGTCTCACAATAATATTATGAGACGTTCCTTTGCTTAAATGCATGGATTTACAGCTCCAATAGCTACAAAACATCAGGAACTACATATCCCATGATTCATTTCACCATAGAAAACATGAAGAAATATGTTTTTACTTCTCCTCTAATTCTTGGTATTATGACAGTAATAATTCACACCAAAATCTGGTCAAGGTATTTTAAAGCAAAAAAGTGTCCTACAATCTACAATTATATCAGCCTCTCCAAAATATCACAATAAATATCGTATCATGAGATGCATATCGTGATAATATCGTACCGAGAGATTTGGATATTGTTACATCCCTAATGTCATTGCTCTGCTTGGAATGTTCCACAGTATGACATTAAACAGCAATTCGTGTATCATTCGTTCATTTGTTTTTTAATATAAAACCAAAAATAAGAAAAAAAAATAAAAAATCATTATTTTTTTCCAAAATCAAAATGAAAAAACAAAAACAAATGACGATTCTTTTTTTTAGTTTTCGATTTTGTGTTTAAATGAAGAATGGAAAAAACGGATAACCAGCCGTGACTTAAACTGCGATGCCGGACTTTTGCACCCCAAATGGACTGAACCAGGACTAAACCCGAACTAAACTGTTTTCAGTCCCGGTCTAGTCCCGGACTTGTCCCAGTCTCAGTCCCGGTCTGGATCTCAGTCTTGGTCTCAGTCCTGGTCCTGTTCCCGGTCTCAGTCCTGGTCTCGGTTCTGGTCTGGGCCCGGTCGGATCTGGTTTAGTCCTGGATCAGTCCATTCAGTCCGTATGGGGAGCAAAAGTCCGCAGTTTAAGTCACGAAAACGGGAAATGGAAATGGGAAATGTTATCCTTTTTTTTTTTTTTTTCCATTTTTCATTTAAACACAAAATCAAAAACTGAAAAAAATGAATCGTTATCTGTTTTTTCATTTGGTTTTGGAGACAAATAATGAAGAAAATAGTTGTTTTTTCGTTTTCTTATTTTTGGTTTTACATTGAAAAACAAATGAACGAACGACACGCGGATTAACAGCTCTTCCTTACATTTATTCCATTACAGGTGCTTTTATAGCTCAAAAACACCTCGCCTCTCCACAGATCTGACCTGTAACTTGGTCTGAAAGGTTTAATTCCGTACTGTGAGACGTTCCAGACAAAGTAATAACATCTCCACGGAAAAAAAAAGCAGCATTTGACAGACGCTCCACCAGAAAAGTTACACAACGCGCCATAAGTTTAATATTACTTCTACAACAACATGACTGAAAAGATCGATTGTCCTTAAATCAAAATGGCTTCTTACACTTATTCGAAACATGACTTTTACTTTGATAAATAAACCTGACAACAAAGTGTACCTCCTCCTAAGCTCTCTTTACTGCTGATGCGCTCTGAAAGTGAAAGCAGCTGGGCCCGTCTGGAGCTTTTGTGTGGGGTTTCTGTGGCGTTTTTGTGTGTGGAGTTTGTGTGGAGGTGGACAGCGCTCGGTCTGGTCTTTCCTCGGCGCATGTATTTCATTAGGGCCCCACAGTGTCTGATAAATGCGAGACACGGAAGGGCTGTCTGCGTGCACATAATAAAAGGGAAATCCCATGGAGATGTTAATTCATGTAGGCTTTAGTCGCATCTGGAAATGTAGTACAACTGTGGGAGAAGATATTTTGCTATAGAAGGAACCGCGGAAGACAGATGGGTGATAAAATAATGTAGGATTTTTGAAAATAATATGGGAAATTGTTTTTAATTACTTGAATTTCTTTATGCATTTTTATTAGCACCTTTGCATATTGGTAATGCATACAAAAACAACAAAATACCAAACAATATACAGGTACAGAGGAAAATGGCCAAACTGACTTGTCAAATCTTGATCTTGTTAGATTTCAGACTGAACTAGCGAGGCTGGAGCTAGTGTCTAGTGCCTCCGCTCAATTTCATTTCTCTCCAGCGACTAGGTCAGGAATCAGAAGACACTAGATGTTTTTCAAGAACCCTGGTAGTTTTGTGGAACAGCACAACAGTAAACAAAGCATCGAGATGGATGTAGACCAGGGATGTCAAACATATGGCCCGGGGGCCGGATCTGGCCCTCCAAGACCTTTAATCTGACCCTCGGCTGATTTTCTACTAAAATATTTAAATTATATTTTCTATTAAAATATTGGTAATTTTTTGCGCAGCATCTCCAGTGTCTCTGCCACCAGAGCAGCACAAATGAAGACTTGTCTCTTTCCAAACGCTCTTAAAGGACGATCGTTTTGACTGTTGACCGTGACACCCTCATCAACAAAATGTCCAACATGAGAAAAGTGGACACTGAGTGCAGAATTTTCCAAGTAAAATGGACTTATTCCTATTTGCATACAAGTTCATGTTAAAACATTGTGTTGAAATTACATTTTTCTTAAAGTTTCAGGTTGTTCATAATATTCTAATATTTTGTAAAAGAAAGAGTTCATCAATTAAAAAAAGATTTCTGTAATAGATTTGCATTTCTCTGCACAAATATTTGAATTTTCTGATCGGCCCCTTTGGGATCAAAGTAAGTTGGATACAGCCTGAGTTTGACACCCCTGATGTAGACGAAGACAGACATTCTGTGTTGGCAATGATTCACGAAATCGAGGATTTAAAGCCAGAACAAAGAGAATGTTTGGTGAATTTTATCAAGGGGAAAGACGTTATTGTCCTTCTTCCTACGGGATTTGGTGCATTACATACGTCACGACCAAATAGCAGTGATTGATTAGATCAAAAACGTACCCGCCTACCATTGAGCGAACGAATCCTAATGCTGCGAGGTCAGACGGTTTCCACAAAGTGAAACTGGCTGATGAATCAGGCAAAAAGTGGCAAAATAACTGTTGTTGTGCCCTTAGGCAAAACACTTCGCCCACATTGCCTGGTGTGAAAGTGGTGTGTGAGTGTTGGCCATGTGAGTGTTGGCTGTGGTCGCGTCCTCGCTTCCATCAGTCTGTCCCAGGGCAGCTGTGGCTACAACCATAACTTACCACCGATGAGTGTGGAGTGAATGAATCATGTTGCAAAGTGTGGGTGTCTTGAAAGGTGCTACATAAATCCAATTATATCCAATAATATTATATAAATAGAAGAAACTTGGACGTTTTCCTATAGTTA